TAGCCTAGGCCATCTTTATGTAGAGCAACAATTTTTTTTTCAGGTCCTCAGAGAGGTCTTTGCCATGAGGTGTTGAACTTCCTGTGACCAGTATGAGAGAGTGAGAGCGATAACACCAAATTTAACACACCTGCTCCCCATTCACACCTGAGGCCTTGCAACACTAAGGAGTCACATGACATCCAGGAGTGAAAATGGCTAATTAGGCCCAATTTGGACATTTTCACTTAACCACTTCTAGTCAAGACACTTTTACCCCTTTCCTGTCCAGGCCAATTTTCAGCTTTCAGCGCCATCACACTTTGAATGACAATTGCATGGTCATGCAACACTGTACCCATATGACTTTTTTTGAGACAGATAAAGCTTTATTTTAATGGTATTTATTCACCACCGGGATTTTTATTTTTTTTGCTATAGAAATGAAAGTTCAAAAATTTTGAGAAAAAGTGTTTTTCTTTTAAAATAAAATTTTGCAAATAAAAAATATTTCATCATAAATATTGGCCAAAATTTATTCAGTTATCTTTTTAGTAAAAAAAAAAAAAAAAAATAACCCAAATTAGTTTATAACCAAAAATGTATTATTTTTAAAAAATGTTTTTTTTTTTTTTACATTTTTATTTTTATATATTTTTATTTTTTTTTTTTTTTTCTGCATACAGTCCATAATGGTGGGTGCCGTTTATGAACGGCAACCCTGCCCTGGAGTGCCACCGTCCTGCCGTTTTTATACACAGCGACTGGACGGCAAATGGTTAAGGGTGCACTCACTTTTGTTTCCAGCGAGTTTAAACATTAATAGCTGTGTGTTGTTATTTTGAGGGGACAGCAAATTTACACTGTTTTACAAGCTGTACACTCACTACTTTACATTGTAGCAAAGTGTCATTTCTTCAGTGTTGTCACATGAAAACATATAATAAAATATTTACAAAATGTGAGCGTTGTACTCCCGTGATTTTACTGTAAGAGAGCCAAAGTCCATTATATCTCACTTTAAAGTGTTTAAAGCCTTGTAGCTGCACGCAGTGTGGAGTAATGTGTCTTAAAATATACAGCAGAAACTCTAAAGTTATTTTTTTTAAGCCACCTTAGCTCGCCTAGTGATTCTGTAAATTCTGAGCCTTCTAATCTGTAATTTAAACACACTGCATTAACCACCTTAATCCTGAAGTAATTTTTTCATTATTTTGAACATGTTAAAAAGCACGTTTTAGGCCAGAAGATTAGTTTAAACCCTCCAAACATATACAGTAATATTCTCTGAAAGCAGAGACCCTGGAGGAAAAATGGTGGTAGTTGCAATTTTTTATTGTCTCATGACAGCAACAATATTTTTAGTAGACAATGAACTAAAGTTAATTTTACACATATCAAGCCTTTTTTTTTTTTTTTTTTTCCTCTCTTCACAGTTGAAGTAACTTTGGCCAAGATCAAAACTTTTACATAATTTATTACCTGGTGGTATGGCCAGCATGTTTGATGTTTTTCAACTCCCTTTATCAGACCAAGCTGATTGGTAGAGGTGGCATTTTAAGTTTGAGACAAACCATTTACCAATGACGTGGGTGCTTACAATGGTCAGATTTTATTCATTTATGTAAAACCTTTATTACTTGCCCCCCCACCATCACTACTGCCCTAAAAATTGCTGCTCCACCTGCTTAACAAGGTTTAGCTGGAGTTCAGCTTTATTTGTTAGTCCTTTATGTAAAGTCCACCTAAATCTACTAGTCCATCTAACACTACTCTCCACTGATTGACATTGCTGCTATCCAAGTGTGGCTGCATTGCTCCTTCAAAGATACAGTGGAGAAGTTATTGGCCTAATAAGCAGATGAAAATAAGGGGGGAAAAAAAGTAAAAAAACTAATGCAGCCACTGCATCCAATGATTGGTAGCTACAATATATTGCATTTTTTGGTTTAGTTATGCTTTAACTTTATTGCTGGCACATAAAGGGCTGAAAAGCCCCCTATGTGAAAGCACTTATAGGTTGATCCTGCAGCTACTGAAGCACAGATCGTACTTGCTGCTTCCCCAGCCAGCTCTTCCAGGGAATGACTGAGCTGAACTCAGACGTGACATAATACACATCTATTCTGGGTTCATTCACCAGAGGAAGGATCAGCAAACAGATGGTTGTTGATCTCCCTCCTCTCTATCGAGTGACATGTTCCAGTGGTTGTGTAAGCGATTGGGAGTCACTTCTACCAGGAAGTCAGCATTCAACTTGACAGGTGTACATGCACTCCTGGCACTATAGCAGGCACAAGTGTGTTTAAAAGCCTGTGCTACCAGTTATAAACTGCGCTGGGACTGAAGCGGTTAAGAAGGGTGAGGTAACCAACTTGAATAACTTGTGCTTCGTGTGAGAACTAATTACTCTAAATTGGCTGCAGCTACAGAGGTCAGTGAGGGCTACTTTAAAGCTTATTTTCTGCTTGTTAGCCACTAGAGTCCCAGGTGCCATTTTAAATGGCAGGGGGACAGCAGCTATTCTTCCCATAATGCTATATAAAAAAATTGCTGATGAATATGTGAATAGGTAGGTGCTGCAATGATTATATAACACAAATGAAAAATAAAGTGAAATAGCAATATCCTCAAACAAATAGAATTCCTGAATAAAATATGAATAGTGAACATAATATATTAGTGTGACAGTCCCATAAAGGTGTAGTCCCGTAGACCAAAAATATGCTCTTTCACAACGTGCAGACAATAAGTGATTTTCTCACCAGAAAAAATTGACCCCTGTTAAGGTAGTCTAATATCCCTTTGTTATCATAAGTATTGACGACCAGCAACAGGCTCTCCTGGATCAGACCTCCCACTCTCCTCAAATAGGTCACAGGTACAAAATGTTACAAAGATGCATCCGTGTTTTAAATGTCTCAACCTGCAGATTATTCACCTGAGCTTCTGACGCCTTTAATGATAATTCAATTGCAACAAGTCAAAGATCTCTTTGACTTGTAATTGAATAGGTCACGGGTACAAAATGTCACACAGATGCATCTTTGTAACATTTTGTACCTCTGACCTATTTGAAGAGACCGGAAGGTCTGATCCAGGAGAGCCTGTTGCTGGTTTTCAATACTTATGATAACAAAGCGATATTTGACCACCTTAACAGGGGTCAATTTTTTCCGGTGAGTGAGAATTTTACTCATTGTCTGCACGTGGTGAAAGTCCCATAAAGGTGTAGTCCCATAGACCAAAAATTTGCTTTTTCACCACGTGCAGACAATGAGTGAAATTCTCACTCACCGGAAAAAAATGACCCCTGTTAAGGTGGTCAAATATCGCTTTGTTATCATAAGTATTGAAAACCAGCAACAGGCTCTCCTGGATCAGACCTTCCGGTCTCTTCAAATAGGTCACAGGTACAAAATGTTACAAAGATGCATCTGTGTGACATTTTGTACCCGTGACCTATTCAATTACAAGTCAAAGAGATCTTTGACTTGTTGCAATTGAATTATCATTAAAGGCGTCAGAAGCTCAGGTGAATAATCTGCAGGTTGTGACATTTAAACACGGATGCATCTTTGTAACATTTTGTACCTGTGACCTATTTGAGGAGAGTGGGAGGTCTGATCCAGGAGAGCCTGTTGCTGGTCGTCAATACTTATAACAAAGAGATATTAGACTACCTTAACAGGAGTCAATTTTTTTCTGGTGAGAAAATCACTTATTGTCTGCACGTTGTGAAAAAGCATATTTTTGGTCTACGGGACTACACCTTTATGGGACTGTCACCATAATATATTATGTTTGCTATTCATCATATTTTGTTCAGGACTACTATTACTATTTCACTTTTTTTTTAATTTGTGTTTATATAATCATTGCAGCGCCTACCTATTCACATTAAGTGCATTTCACTTTTAGTGGCAGCTGTTAACTTTTGCTGGCTTAGAGCAGGTAACATCCATTATTGTTTAATTTATTCACTTATTTAGGAGCCACAATGTGGCTTTTCAAATACCTGTATAAAAATTGCACTTATGTGACATCATTTTAATCAGCAGATTTTTACAGTTCTCTTTTGAGGTAAATATTCAGGAATGCTAAAATTATGCAAACGTTGGGAAAAATTGCAAGAAAATTCTGTTTTTTTTTTTTTCCTCTAATTTTTCATTGTTTGTTTTCATAAATCCCATAATCACCAGCTAGGAAATCAAATGGTAAAAAAAAAATGCTAACAAATTAAATCTCTAACAATGCCTGATATGTTGGAGTAGACCATAAACCCCAAAAGGCATAAGATGTAAAACTGAGACACTGTGAAAGCAGAATAAAAAATGTGTAGATTTTATTTATTTCAGGTACTTGTATAGCGCCGTCAATTTATGCAGCGTTTTACATATATATATGTGCATTCACATCAGTCCCTAACCCTCAAGGGGTGTACAATCTAAGGTCCCTAACTCACATTCATACGTACACATACTAGGGCCAATTTAGACAGGATCCAATGCACCTACCAGCATGTCTTTGGAGTGTGGGAGGAAACCAGAGTACCTGGAGGAAACCCACGCAGGCACAGGGAGAACATGCAAACTCTAGGCAGGTAGTACCGTGGTTGGGATTCGAACCAACGACCCTAGTGCTGCCAGGTGGCAGTGCTAACCATTTAGCCACTGTGCTGCCCTTGTAGATCTTTAAATGTCCATAGCTTGGCTATAGGTTCACTTTGAGAGTCAAGACTAGAATGAGAGGAATGAAGGCTGAATTTTTTTTATGTATGTAGCAATCTGATCAACCTTTATTGGAAAGTCCCTGTGACATGCGAATCCCATCTTCAATTTACCTGGCAGACACCTAACAAGTATGCAGATCTTGAGTTCTGACTTATTTCACTTGCATTCTTGCTATCAATCAGTTACCAGTAGATATTAAAACCAAGCAGTTAGCATTTTTAGCAGCCATATTAGTACAGGTTTCCATTGAAGACACAAACCTACAGCACTGGCTTATGGTCTGTTATTATTGCTAAAGCATGTTTGCGTGAGTCTTATTTTGCTGTCTCTTATGTTCATAGAATCGATGCCTATGGATTTGAAAGGCCTGAAGGATTTGATTATACATTTTATGAAGACTTTCATTCCAGATACTTGGTAGTTCTCACCAGAAGAGCTATAAAATGGTCAAAACTTTTGCAGACTTCTGCAGCTGTTGAGAAGAGCATGAAAGGTATTTTTTAATATCAATGAACAGGAATAATGCAATGTTGATACTCTGACAGCTGACACTGCACTTAGGCTATCTTAATATTTCTGGGATAGGTGCAAGTTATGAAATTGTCCACCCTACAGAACGATTATCTCTGCTTTGCCTGACTGCCTGATGAGCAAGCCTTAAATTCTGTATGTTTACGTTAGTTTTCTAAAATGTGTCTAATACCAACATTCATTAATATTTTTTTTTTTTTTCTCAATAGAGTTTTGAGGGGTTAGAACCTTTTTTTATTGCTGCCTTTTTATCCTCATGGGGTGTCTCCCCTTCTCTGTGTTTGTTCTAGTGAACTTTGTCATTGGTACTGAAAGTGAAGGAAAATCCCAAATTTTAAGTTATCAGCAAAACAGGAATAGAAGGTTGTGTCTACAGGACAGGAAGTGAAGAAATATTTCTCCAGTGGCACACGGATTGCAGTACAGATTGTTTTAACTTTTATCTAACTATATTCAAAGTAGAAAAAAAGGTATTTAAGCGCTGGGCAAGGTGACTCTGGGTACTGCCAACCAACCACAGTCATCTTAGTTCATGGCTATTATTTTTTGCTTGGATCAGATGGTCATCGCATATTGCAGTGCATGTAAACTCTGCTGGCTGACTACTTTCTGGGGGGATAATTAATCCATTAGAAAACCTCCCCATTGCTCCACCTGAGAAACCATGCTGAAATGACCTGGCAGCCAGAAAGACAGGCTTAGCAGCAGTAGTAGACTGCGCCCATGCATCATGTGACATTTGCATTGTTCCAAGTGTTCTCTGTTCCTGTTCCAGATAAAGATATAATGGCTTTCCTTTCCGCACCTCATTTTGTCATTGTCATTTCAGCATTAGCAGACTACTAATATGGTTTGTGCAGGTCAGAACTGGAAGAACAAGTAGGTCATTTGATGGGATTCTGCTCTGTCACTTCCATCCCCACCAATTAACTTGGAAAGGGAGCATGGGATACTCGAACAGTAAATCTGTACAACTTGAGGACCGCTTCACTTCTGGCTGCAGTCCATACACTTCTGGCTGCGCAAAGAAAAGTCACACTGGATCTCTAGGCTGACTGTGACCTGTACTCTTTCCAGAATTTCAAAGCTACACACTGTCACAACTCTTCAGCTCTGGGACCTTGTATTCACTTAGCCACAAGATCATCAGTTGCCTCCTGCCAATATCCACCAGGCTCTTTTTTTTAGTGAGGGTGATGAAGACTCTCACCGCCACCAGACAGCTTGGGCTTTCTCTCACAACTTCCTCCCTGCTCTTTCCCGTGAGCTTCTCCTGGCCCAACTTGATCCTTAGACTTGAACTTGCAAATAGGCCCCCCAGCTAAGCTTAGCTGGGACCACTGTGTCTTCTGGCTGGCTTCCTCCAAGACTTCTGCCCCAGGGGACAGAGCCCCTGATCAGGGGGTCTCCTCCAGCAGAACTGGACCCAGGAAAACTGCACCTCCTGCTCAGGCCTCAGATAATTTACAGGCTTTCACCACTTTCTGAGCATGCTTCCCCAGGAATTGGCTGGAGTCCCATAATTATTCAGGCTGCAGACTTTGTCATTGCTCACACTGTGTTCTAGAAGTGTCTAGAAGACAGCTGGTAGTAACAGAACAGCAGCCTGTGAAACACTGAGCAGCCCTAAACAATCCACCCCTGTTTCTTTGATAACAGATAAACTAAATTTCCTAGCAGCCTGCTCTAAGCTAGGAGGGTGCTGCAACTACATTCACACGGGCAATGGGGTGCCAATCAAAACAACCCTTAGAAGCTGTAGCAATAAATGCATGTGTTAGGTGGAGATGCTTGATAGGTGAACAGAACATTTATAGCATAGTTCAATAACCTTTATCCATGTTTGTATAATACGTCGGGGGGTTCAGTGGTGCTGATTTTAGTGCTTATGAGGTCAGTGTTACAGACTACTGATTCTACAGTTACCTGTGAGTGACAAGGGTAGAAGCACTCCAGCAGCTATAATGACCTTGGGAAAGCAACTTCACTTTTTAGCCTGGAGTGCATCTCTACCAGCCATTTCTAGTTAACTGGGAAGCTTCTGAAGTCTTAAACCCCAACTTCAGTCAAACAGCTAAATTTACTGTTGGCAGTACATATGATAGTTCTTATATTTGCCATTGGATTTATATTTCTATCTTTCAGCCCTGTGGCTAACACAGACCCATCAGACAGCACAGCCAAAATGGAGGTCCTATGTTTCTGGAACCCCAGTCCCCCCCCCACCCAAAAAATAAATTAAAGTCAGCAGCTATAAATACTGTAGCTGCTGACTTTTTTAATACAAGGACACTTACCTGTCCAGGGATCCAGGGCTGTCCTCACACGAGGCTATTCTTCAATCAGCTTTGGGTCCCTAGTGCTGGCACCTTAGGTAAGTGAAGCCTTGCGGCTTCAGTCGGTTTCTCACTGCTCATGCACGAGCCCGTGCTGTGCTTTGTGAATGGCCCCACAGTCTTCTGGGACCTGTGATGTCTCCCAGAAAGCTGCGGGCGAGGGAGGGGCGAACTTGCGCTCAGATCGCCCCAGCAATCCGATGAGAAGTGGGAGCATGTACCTGTCAAAACCAGGTATCCGCTGCCCCCCCCCCCCCCCCCCCACCTCCAAAGAAAGTCACAATCCATAAAGAGAAGGGGGAAATGCAAACAAATGGAACTTCCCCTTTTGGGTTAAGTTCTGCTTTGAGTAATATACCTAGATCTAGTCCCTTCCGCAGCATGTAACTGGACAGAGAAGGGAAAAGCAGCAGTTTAAGGAGCTCTCTGTCACTGCTCTTTTTTTGGGTAAGCATGTTCCATATTCGCACGTGAGCACTGCAGCACATCTGATTGGCTCATTGTGCTCCCACCACCACCCAGTCTTAGCTCTTCTGTATAAGGGATTGCAAGAAGCTGATCCCAAATTAAATTTCAATACTTAATATAGGTGATTTAAATTGAAACACCATGGGCCCATTTGCACTGGCAAGTTATGGTCGCATTGCAGTTTCATTTTGGCTGCCATCCAATGCTCTATAATGGTAGCGGGCAATGCAGCAATCACAACATGCTTACCGTGTGTTGTAGTATACTGCGTTAATAAAAAGGTACATATACGATTTTTGTTGAGGTGTGCTGCCAACCCTTTCCAAATAAATGGGCTGCCTTAAGGCAAAATAGTATTCCTTGAATGGGCACCCAGTGATTTGTAATGAATACATACATGCATTATTTGGTATTTTCATCTAGAGTCCAACCTTAAGTGATATTTTATATACTGACAAGAACGTGATTAATAGTCCCAAAAGATGATGAAACATAAATAATAAATAGATTTCTTTAAATAATCCAAGTTGGTAAAATATCTTCCTGCTGGTGATTGCACCCAAAATCCCAGTGCTGTAAATCTTCAATACACGTGAATCACCACAGTGAACAAAAACTTCAAGGTGGACTCTCACCTTCTCACATGGACCTGTATGTGAACAGAGGTCAGAAAAGCATCTCCCTTATGAGTGGGGGTAACGTATAACTTGCTCCTCTGTGGACAATCTTCCCCTTATGAATCACCACTGGACATTCACATATAGCACCTGATTTCAGTACAGCCAGCTCTGTGGATAAAGCTCGACAAAAATAAAGACCATAGTGCAGTATGCTTCTTTAAAAGGCATATAATTTATTAAGGCATATGAACTCTCATAGTTACATAGTTAGTCTGGCTGAAAAAAGACAAAAGTCCATCCAGTTCAACTATTAAAAAGAAGTTATAATCCTATACCCACAGTTGATCCAGAGGAAGGCAAAAAAAACCAGCAAAGCATGAACCAATTTGCTCCTACAGGGAAAAAAAATTCCTTCCTGATTCCTCGAGAGGCAATCAGATATTCCCTGGATCAACTTTACCTATAAATGTTAGTATCCAGTTATATTCTGTGTATCTAAGAGAATCCAGGCCTTTTTTTTTTTTTTTTTTTTTTTTTTTTTTTTTTTAGCAATCCACTGAGCTGCCCAGAACCAACTCTTGAGGGAGTCTATTCCACAATTTCACAGCTCTCACTGTGAAGAAACCTTTCTGTGTTTGGAGATTACATTTCTTTTCCTCCAGATGTAAAGAGTTCCCCCTTGTCCTCTGTGATGACCTCAGGGTGAATAGCTCTACACTGAGTTCACTATATGAACCACTGATGTATTTATACATGTTGATCATATCCCCCTTAATCTCTTCTCAAGAGGTATCATGGTAAAAATGTCAAAATGCATAAAAAGCAACGGCCAAAACAATCAAAGGAAAGCAAAATGCTGCCTGTCAGATCAGCGTTGGAGCGCCGATGTCACCCTATTCCTCCCCACGCATATCGTCACACACCAGGTGACTTCGTCAGGGGGTGCTTCTTTGTACTGTTCAAGCTGAGGTCCAGAGGGTGACAGCTTGTGCCTCATTCCAGACGACATTCTACAAAGGAGGTGGATATTTTGAATGACAGCACTTTCCCCCCATTCCCTGTGCTTTCTGGAAACATTTGTGGTCACAGGAATGCAGGGGTAGGGGGGCACACCTTGCAAGGAATGCAGGAGCAAGGGGCATGGTATTGCAGGAATCAACACATGCCCACTCACATCAGAGCTCTGTCTGTGCTGCTGTTACACATGCCTGTTCTCTGTACATACATTATTAGAGGCTCGGCTAGCAGAACAAGGGCACTAAACATGGAGGTGTTGGAAACTATACAAAGGGGTGATGGCAGCTGTGCGCCTGAAAAATTGGAGCAGAGAGAAGGGAGATAGACGGAAATATGTTTTTGTTTTTTGTTCCACAAAATGATTGAGGTCTGCAGAAAAAGCTATTCAAAGTATTTAACAAATTAAAAAATAAATAAATATATATATATATATATATACACTATAAAAAAAAAGATATATTTAATGTTTTAAAGTGTTGTCAGTTTAGCTTAAATGCCAACAAAAGTTTTAAAGCTTTACTTACCCTGAATAATTGGCATCTGTATGTCGCCTTTGTTCCCCTGTAGAGTGTTTTGGGCAACCCAAAATGGAGGTTGTATTGTAATGTACAGCTCCCGTGGTTGCTGTTCAGGCCTGCCTCATGGGAAAAAAAACTATTGACCCAGCTCTGTGAAGGGAAGTCTTACTAATCAGTCGAAATGGGAAGAAGTAGGCAGGGCTACAGTAAGATTGTGGAAGCTGCTACAGTTGCAGTTGGGGTACTTGCTATTAAAAGCAATTTGTGTTTTGTTTTTTTTTGTGTGTTTTTTTTTTTTTTTTTTATTCTATATATAATTCCCACCTTTACCAGTGGTTCACCTTAAACTTTGAAGATTTGTCAGTTGAAGAGAAAACCATAATTTAAAATGCATAGCAGTTTTTAAGCAGAACTAAATTTTCCTATCTTACAGCCAAGAAAGCTGCCATCTTGGCCTCAGCTTGATCTGCAGTTGCCATGGGTGCTTCACATGTGATCAGCTATGAAACCAGCCATTCGATGGCTTGACAGTTTAAGTGAGAGCTGACATACAGTCATGGCCAAAAATATTAGCACCCCTGCATTTTGTCAGACAATGCACTACTTCACCCAGAAAATTGTTGTAATTACAAATGTTTAGGCATTCTCATGTTTCTTTTGTTTGTATTGGTATGACACAAAAAAAGTGGAGAAAAGTCAAATCTGACACATTTCCATGCAAAACTCTAAAAATGGATTGGACAAAATTTATTGGCATCTTCTGAAGATTGTAAGAAATGATTGTATTCCAAGTTTGTGATGCTCCTGTAATTTGTAATGCAATGATGCTGTATCCATTAACAGGTGCTGACAATATAGAAATCACACTGGCAACCAGTTAAAATGGTGAAAAATTTACTCCCTCTTTCTGTTGTTGTTCTCTGTGTGCCACATGGAGCATGGAAAAGAAAAGCGCAGCAAAGAAGTGTCTGAGGATTTGAGGACAAAAATTGTGGAAAAGCATGGACAATCTCAAAGTTACAAGTCCATCTCCAGAGATCTTAATGTTCCTGTGTCCACTGTGCACAACATTGTCATGACGTTTACTGCCCATGGCAGTGTAGCTAATCTCCCTAGACGTGAAAGAGAAAATTGATTAAAGATTGCAACAAAGGCTTGTTCGAATGATGGCTAAAGAACCTTGATCAACTTGCAGACAAATTCAAGCTGACCTTCAGGCACAGAGTACAACTGTGTCAGCTTGCACTATACTTCGTCATCTTAATAAAAATGGGATGATATTGTAGGAGACCTAGGAGGACCCCGCTGCTGACACAGAAACCTAAAAAAGCCAGATTGGAGTTTGCCAAAACCCTTTTGGGAGAATGTGCTGTGGACAGCTTTTTGGTAAAGCCCATCATTCTACTGTTTTCAGGAAAAGCAATGAGGCCTGTAAAGAAAATACAGTCCCTGCAGTCATACATTGTGGAGGATCACTGATGTTTTAGGATTGCTATGCTGCTTCAGGCACTGGATGTGTTGACTGTGTGAATGGCATTATGAATCCTGAAGGCTACCAAAGGGGTGCAATGAAGGGCCCAGTGTCAGAATGTTGGGTCTCTGTCAGGAGTCATAGGTCTTACAGTGGGACAATGACCCAAAGCACTCGTCAGGAAGCACCCAGGAATGGTTTAAGAAAAAGCACACGAGAGTACTGAACTGGCCAGCAGTGAGCCCAGATCTCAGTCCCATAGAGGGGTCTCCACATTTTTTTTTTTTTTTTTTTTTTTAAACAAAGGGCCAGTTTACTGTCCTAAAGATGTTAGATGGGCCACACTGTGACCATCAGGAGTAGAAAATGTCCCAGCAGAGTAAACTATGCCCCATCCTTGGTGTCATTGGGAGCAACTGTGCCCCATCATTGGTGTAATTGGACCCCATTGTTGGTGTCATTGGGAGGAACTGTGCCTCATCACTGGCTCTATTGGCAGGAATTGTGCCTCATTATTGGTATCTTTGGGCTCCGTTGTTGGTGTCATTGGGAGGAACTGTGCCCCGTTGTCATTGGGAAGAATTGTGCCTTTTCATTGATATCGTTGGGAGGAATTGTGCCTCATCACTGGTGTCATTGGTAGGAATTGTGCCCCATTATTGGTGTCATTGGTAGGAATTGTGCCCCATCATTAGTGCTATTGGGCCCCATTGTTTGTGTCCTTGAGAGGAACTATGGCCCATCTTGCTGTCATTGGGAGGAACTGAGCCTCATTATTGGTGTCGGTAAATGAGTGTCCCAAGGGCCAGATAAAAGCAAGCAAAGGGCCTCAGTTTGGAGACCAGTGCCATAGAGCACTTGTGGAGAGATGTCAAAACAGCAGTTGGGACAAGGAACCCTTGCAATCTGAGAGACCTGCAGCAGTTGGCGAAAGAAGAGTGGTCCAAAATTCCAGTAGAGGAGGTGTAAAACTCATTGATCGTTACAGGAAGTGATTGATTTCAGTTATTTTTTCCAAGGGGTGTGCTACCAAATATTAAATTGAGGGTGCCAATTTTATCCAGCCCATTTTTGGGGTTGTGTGTGGAATGTGTCAGATTTGGCTTTTTGTTTGTTTTGTGTCATACCAATACAAACAAAAGAAATAAATAAACATGAGAATGCCTAAACCTATATAATTGCAACAATTTTCTGGGCAAATTATGCATGATCTGACAGAAATGTAGGGGTGCCAATATTTTTGGCCATTACTGTAAACATGCTAGTAACTGTAACCGTTATCATTAAAAGCATGCCCTAAATTCAACTGTTTTGGGATTAAATCAGTGGGTTTAGCTCTGTTTTAACTGTTCATGAGCAAAACACACAAGGAATTGTCTGGGTTCTTTGTCTGCTACATAAAAAAACATTTTGAAACTGCTATTGCATCAGTCTTATTTAATTTCATGAACCAGCAAGATATGCATGCAAATGTATCTACTTATCACATATTTTCTCTAAGCACATCATATGCTACTTGAAATTGCAGTAAGGGCCTGTACCAGCCACTGGGGCTCTACTGTTGGAATACTGATTGGAGGGTTAGTTGTAGTGAAATGGGGGGTTAGCTACAAATTGGGGTGAGGCCAAAAACCGTATTCCAGCATGTTTTGGCTCCAACTGTTTGAGCCAAAAGCTACTGTTTCTGTATGTACAGTCTATGCTGGAGTTCAAAGGTGCCATCCATGTGCACAGTAATGTATTTGTTTTTTAAAAAGGATGGGGCCTACAAGATTGCCTAAATTTTGGAGTATTGTTATAACTCTTAATACTTTTTAGGTTTCATTTTAATAATGCGAGAAACAGATAATCAATTCAGCTAAAGATATACAAGAACTGGAAAAATCCATATGATGTTTTGGAGCCAGTAAGTGTAGATTCTGGGCCACATAACAAGCTAGGGAACATGCATTATTTCATTGACAAAGATATGGATAGCGAATGTAAGTTTGGGTACCAGCTGCTGTTTTAATAGGCACATTTGCTATTGGAATTTGACTATCCCTGAATAAACCTAAGTATGACCAGATGTTTAGACAATCAGCCTGCGCATAGGGTGATCAGAATCTGTGGATTATAAATTTAGAAAATGGATTGCATGTCCCAGAGGATACAAGAAAGATACAGAAAGCTAAGGATCTGGTTTTTCATTTGTCTTATTAGCTACCTTTGAGTCCTCATGCACACTGGATGTTTTTACAGCTGCTGGTTTTGGCTTTTGATGGTGTTTTTTTTTTTTTTTTTTTTTTTTTCTACAGCGAGTAAACTCACGAGCATGTTATCCTATGTGTCCATGTACACAGACTGATCAACATTTTTTGGCTGGGAAAAAAACCCAGGAGTAGTGTGTTTCTAGAGGAGTTTTTTAGCTGTAAAAACTCTATGCTGAAAAATGTGGTATATCGTGGCAAACCAGCGTTTTTGAAAGTTCTTTTGACTGAGAAAATTTTTTTTTTGTTAAAAAAAAAACTCTAAAAAAACACAAATGCGAAAAAACGTGGCAAAATGCCACTAAACGCTTATATAAAAAAGCTAAAAAAACCATTGAAAAACTCAAGTTTTTTTTTACATGACTTGTACACAGCTAACATTACCAGCGTTATTAAAACGCCCCGTGTGCATGGAGCCTGAGGATGAGCTCTGTATACATCAATATTACATAAACAGAAGATCAACGGGGATTACTAACACCTGAAATATTTATTTTGCTCTTACCAGTGATTTTTAGAAAAGCCCCTTAGTCTTTCCTTGTTGTTTCAGTAAAGCGATATATTAGGAAAGGCATTCCTAATGAACATCGCTGTCACGTGTGGATGTTAATAAGTGGAGCACAGGCCAGATTGGAGAAGAACCCAGGATACTATCACAATGTATTAGTGGAAGGAAAGAAGAATGCAAAGCTTGTGGATGCTGTCATCACAGGTAATGTCATGAGAGTGGTCTGCCTACTTTTTTACAGCTTTAGTGTTGCTTGCTAATGAACAATTAGGATCTTATTCTTTTTTTTAAAGCTGTTCTGTAAAATACGGTCTTTCAGCAATTGTAGCCATATACATATTACTCCTGACAGCATTTGATTTTTTTGAAACTGGGAAAAAGAGAAAATGAGATTAGTTGATAACAATATTGACCAGTAAGAATTATTGTTAATTTTTTTTTCCCTAAAATGAGAGAACCTGATTAAGAGAGGTTTCCAATTGCAGCCACTCTTAAAAAAAAAAAAAAAAAAAAAAAAAAAATTCTCCAGTCTAATAAATTTTTTTTTTTGTCAAATTTTTAACAAGCCTGAGATTACTTGAGAATTGTAAAATTTGCGGTATGTTTACAAACTTTGTGTGTTTAAAAATTTTTTTAAAAAAATGTATGTATATTTTGCATTTCCAGGTAGGGGGCGCGCTCCCTACCCCCGCCAGCATTTGCGGCCACGAATGTCAATCACCGGGTCCCGGCCGATAATTACCCGCCGGAGGCCAGTGATTACCGAGCAGCTCCAACGGGGAGGAAGATTGTTTTGTTTACAAACAGTCTTCCTCCCTGTCAGCTCAAGCCCACTGCTCGGGATGGCTCTGCACAGTACAGCCGTCCTGATCAGTGTGCTTACAGTGAAGAACACACCTCCCGCCCCCTAGAAAAACACTCCCAGCACACAGTTAACCCTTTGATCGCCCCTCACAACCCCTTCCTGCCCAGTGCTATTAGTACAGTGTCAGTGCTTCTTTTAGCACTGATCATTTTATTGTTGTGACTTTTCTTCTTAGCACAGACATGTCGCAGAATACATTTTGGCCTTAATTTATGACGAAATTAGATTTTTTTAAAAATATTTTTACTGGATATGTTTAATAACAAAAAATCCAAAATATTGATTTTTTTTTTCCTCAAAATTGTCTGTCGGTCTTTTTTTGCTTTTAGCGCAAAAAAAAACTCATTTGGGTGCAGTATTCATGACCGCGTAATTGTTAAAGTAATGCAGCGCCGTAACGCAAAAAATGGCCTGGTCAGGAAGGGGGGTAAATCCTCAGGAGGGCAAGTGGTTAAAGAACATCACAAAGTCTGAATCCTGCAATAATTCAAACATTTTTTTTTCCAAGGATCATCTCCTGTGCTTGTTTTTAAATAAAGAGAAAACTACTTTAAACAAAAGTTACACAAGCATGTTTGAAACCACTAACCTACATGTTGGCTGAGATATGTTTGAACCTAGTTGTGCTATTATGCAAAGTACCAATTTACATACTACCAAACTAAAAATACAGTATGTTTAGTTTGGTAATATATAAATGTGTAGTTTGTAAAATATCACTACTAGGTTACAACATATCTCAACCAACATGTAGGTTGGTGGGTTCACACATGCTTGTGTAACTTTTTTGTTTTAAAGTAGTTTTCTCTTTATTTAAAACAAGCACAGGAGATGATACATTTTAAGTTTTTGGTTGTAACATGACAAAATGTGGAAAATTTCAAGGGGTACGAATATTTTTTCAAGGCACTGTATGTTTAGAAAACTAAGCAATTACTGTTGGATAAAAAGACTATAACAAGTGATGTTTGTGGTGCTTTGATCACAAGCCAGACTAGACTGCCTCTGAATGCTATGTTCTATTTTACCGTAAAGGAGATTTACTAAAAAGCAGGAAAAGCTAAGGCCACAGGAACATGATGTGCAATGTCAATGTGAATAACAACTCAAAGCTTTCAGAGCTATATAATCTAGCAGGCATCCCTAAACTGCAGACCGCTGTCCAGACCTGGACTTAAGTGATGGTTCTATCCGGACTGCCAGCCATTCCCCAGCAACCAAAAATGTTGTGCGTGCCCTGCCCCCCCCAGCATAACAGACAGAAGTGGAACTTCCTCTGTCCATACCAGCAGCTTGCTCTGCCTCTCCTTCTGTCCTTTGCCTACCTGATGCCAAAAAGGTATGGGATTACTGTGGTGGGACACTTGATGTTAGGGCTGCACTCTGATGTGGACAGTGATGTAGGGGGGCACTTTGACTAGCACACTCTGATAGGGACACCTGATGTAAGGAGGCATACTGAAATTTAACCGCTAAAGCAAAATGCCAATTTAATGTCTTTTCTTCCAGATCTGAACAGAACATTTCCTGATAATGTGAAGTTCCGTAAAGATTCAAGCCAATGTTTGCAGCCAATGCTACATAATGTTTTAGTGGCTTATGGCCACCATAATAGCAGTGTGGGCTATTGCCAGGTAGGTTTGTATCACTTTTGTCTCTTTTTCTTAGGTTGTATGGGCTTGCATCATACATACAGAAAGACAGGGTGTTACAGTAATTAAATTACACAGTATACAGATCAATGACATTCCATCTATGAACAGTTCAGAAATGTAGCATTCATATTTTACAAAACATGCTGTATATCAGCCAGAGTGGCTGCATATTAATGCCAGGTGCAGCTCTAAATAGGAGCGATCTAACCAGCAATAAGAAAACATTAAGCTGATATTCAAGGCTTGTTTGTTTATTTATATTAATAAAAAAGGTTATACTTACCTGCTCTATTGCACAGGGCAGTCCCTTGGGTGTGCTCCTGAGCAGGGCTGTGTACGTCCATAGACATTGTTCTTCCATTGCGCTGTCTGGCTTCAGTTTGTCAAAAGGAAATTTAATTGTCTGGTTGTGGGAGCCTGTCACTCATCACTGCTTATTTCAGGAAGACTAATTCAATTTTGTCATCCCAGATAGACTAAAGAGTACACTGGCTTTTCGTTCCACCATCTGTACAAGGCAGACTCAGGCAGGCCATCATCCATCCTAGGGTCTTAAAGTTTGGGTTTCACCCTTTCCTGTCAATTGTCAATCTTCCCATCGCACACGTTCCTAGAATTGGCTCAATAAGTAATGGGTGCTGCAGCAACAGCCAGCTGGAGACTGAGACCATTCATTGTACAGAGTGAATATTTGCCAGAACACCACAGATCTTCAAGTGAAATTCAAACTTTTTTTATGCCAGATGCGCCCGACAGGGTAAACAATCCAGTGGTGTCTGGCTTCATACATCATCATACCTAGTGGCCAGTCATAGTGAGGAGCCGTGCAAGGGCATTGCAGATGCTGTCTCCTAGCAATACAGGACACTGACTGGCAGGGCCACTGAAGCAATGGAAACACACGATGTTAAGATGCTCTGCTTCCACCAGCGATGTAAACAATGAAGCCGGATGGTGAAAGCGAAGGGGGGGGGGGGGGGGGGTGAAGACCCAAAGTGTGAACCGTGAAAAATAGTGAAGCAAATGAAAAAAAGTGGAAAAAGCCATTAAGACCCATGAGGAAAAAAAATAGGCAATATGCAGTTTTGTAAAAGGAAAAAGTTCATGAAAAAAACGGCTAATGGCAAAAAAAAGAAAATGGGGAAAAAAAGTAACATGAAAACATTAGAAAGGGAAAAAAAATGTATCAAATAAAAATACATTTAAAAATAAAAAAAATATATAGATGAAACCTAGTAAGAAGGCAAGAACAAGAGTGGAAGTACAAGGATCGGCACATAACATGGGAAGCAAAGGCTATGATGGCCTAAAATCTGTCCATACAGGACAAAGTACCTTGACTAGACCGGTCACGTCACCACCAAAGCACTTCGTCCTACTAGTTGCTTAAAAAAAACTTGGATTTTAGCCAATAGTCAAGGAAGTAGAGGAAAGAAAAAAAAAAAATGTGGATATTTACTAAAACGGGAGCACTCAGCTGTGCATGGTAGCCAATCAGTTTCTAACTTCAGCTTGTTCAATTAAGCTTTGAAAATAAAATCTGGAAGTTGATTGGTTTCTATGCAGAGCTGCATCAGATTTTGCATTCCCCATTTTTTTGTAATTTTCCCCCCAGTAATTCTTGATGTATCAAAACCAATCATGAGAGCTGGCCAGGGCAAACAGAATCACCTGCCATCCAGGAAGCATGTAAATGAGATATTGTTGTGTCCCCCCCGGGTGTACCTTGCCAAGGGTGTGTATCCAGAAGGTCTCACATTGCAAGAAGAAAAAGGCACAGTACCCTCCTCTAATGGGTCGCTTGATGTGTTCGACATATCTCTGAGTCTAATGTTTGTGGATAACAAAGTGTGCTGCCAGCGGTTTATTTAGGTCAATTTGTTCCCCCTTCTCTACCTTTTGGTAGAGCCACCCTATTGTCACTCCTGTGTCTCTGGAAGTGTCTTTTGAATGGTCAAGTTGTTTTGCCACCATATATTAGCGTGTAAAGGCACTTTAGGATATAAACGCAGAATTCTGAGTTACAGCTCAGGTATTCGCATATACAGTACTGGTATCCCGTATGTGAATGTAAAAAGTATTCCCCACATAAGAGTGAATTGCACTTGTTACAATTGTGGTGTTTTCGAACAACCAGTTTTCTGAGAGATTGTGTGTTACAGCCTGTCTGATCTAATCAGGTGGGTGGATTTAGTGCGAGCAATTGTAGATTTGACCAAAGCTCAGTTAAGCACCTTAGTAGGGTATCTTCACTCCAAGAATTTTATCATTCTATTTAATATGTTACCATTGTTTGTCATCATCGTCTGAACAGATCCGTGAGACCCTCGTGACCTGTGAGATGGGTTGGGTGCTGAGATTTTTGTAGTGCAGTAACATGTTCCTGTCAGTTGGTTAGTGTAAGGCAGTGTTTCTCAACTCCAGTCCTCATGGACCCCCAACAGGTCATGTTTTCAGGATTTCCCTCAGATGAAACAGCTGTGGTAGTTACTAAGGCAGTGAAACTGATCAAATCACCTGTGCAAAATAATGGAAATCCTGAAAACATGACCTGTTGGGGGTCCATGAGGACTGGAGTTGAGAAACACTGGTGTAAAGAGATGTAACCAAGGTACCCTGGGAATTGGTAATCAACATGTCAAGAAAAGTAGTACTGCATGGTGAAATTTCTGGATTAACCACAACCCCAGGGAAAGTGTTGCTCAAGCAATCAGCCGAAGAATTAAGTATCATGCCGGAGCACTCTTATAGATCTGTGATTGCGTCTCAGGTTTTTTGGCTTTCGTCTACAGTTTTTTAGATTTTGCAGGGCTGTTCACATGTTCTCATCTGATGCCAGCTTCAGGTCTAAGGTCCTTCAGGTAGCTCTTTGAGCTGCAGGTGGTACGCAGTCATGTTGTTTTTTCTTGGGCAAGTTTGTGTTTGTTTGCAGTGCTGCAGACCCAGCTGAGTGAACTGTTTGGGTGTTCTGAAAGTTTACGACTTCCTATGTCCCCCAATGAACAAGAGACAGTAGGGTTTTGTACTCGCTGTAAAATTGTTTTTCTTGGGCACTGGTCCCATCCCTCTAGTTATAATCATTCTCTGGATACTGCTTTGCCATTAAACTGAGCCAATACAGTAGTAAGGGATTATTCTTGGTTGACCTACAGATTTTTTGCTTTTTTTTGCCAATGTCCAATCCTCCTGCTGGCAGCAATTGAACCTAAAGGTTTAACCACTTCCGGCTGGACGTATACATATATGCAGCCTCTCGGCAGGTGGGCATTAACAGTGAGAGGCCCGATATATATGGCCCCTAAGTAAACCCTTTTCTGTGCTGAGAGCATACCCTGAGCGCTCTCAGCACAATTACCAGCGGGGACTGGAAAGCTCCCGATGCATACTTGTGATCTGGAGCTTACTGTTCATGTGATGGGTATACCCGCCTCCTCCTGGCATTTAAAAACCTCTTAAAGGCTAGGTTCACATATGTGCGGCTGCGGATCCGCACGAAAATCCGTGCAGCCGCATCACCCACGCAGAGGAATGATGACCCGTGGGCGGGTGCCATTAGTTCTAATGGCACGCCTCCCGCACTGGAAAACGCAACCGTACTGGGAACCAAGGTTCCCTTGCGGGCTACGTTTTCAGAAGAAGTGCAGGGACTTCTTCCCTACGGGGCACGGGAGTCCATTAAAATGACCCGCACGTCTGCATATATGTGTAAACCAGGGGAAAGGGTCTGGAAGTGGTGGCGGGAAGGGGTTAAGACTTCCCTTGTCCCTCCAATAGACATCAACAAAAGATGAGTACAAAAAATTTATTTATTTATTTTGTATTCTGCCTTTTGAAACTACTTCAAATAAGCGTGCGTGTGCGTGTGCGTGTGTGTGTGTGATGTAGAAAACAGAAATTCTGAAGGACCCTCTGCACACTGGTATATACCCTTTCAAGCAAACTATGCAACAAATAGGGATATTTGGTTCACACATATTGCAATACATGTTTAAGCTGGCCAACTGCGTCAAAGTAATCCCTCTATGGCCAGTCCTACTCTGCCCTGCCTACGCAAGTGCTACTGTGGACACAATGCTAGCATAGGGGAAAAGACACAATGGGGAGAGCTACAAGGTTCAGGTCTGGCTACTGACCCAACAATACAACAAACAAGAGATCCCTGTGCTCAAATCCATACAGCTAGTGCATGCATTTATCCATCAGGTGCTAAAGGGGTGTAACCACATTAACTCTAGAAATTCTGAAGGACCCTCTGCACACTGGTATATACCCTTTCAAGCAAACTATGCAACAAATAGGGATATTTGGTTCACACATATTGCAAATGTTTAAGCTGGCCAACTGCGTCAAAGTAATCCCTCTATGGCCAGTCCTACTCTGCCCTGCCCCATTGTGTCTTTTCCCCTATGCTAGCATTGTGTCCACAGTAGCACTTGCGTAGGCAGGGCAGAGTAGGACTGGCCATAGAGGGATTACTTTGACGCAGTTGGCCAGCTTAAACATGTATTGCAATATGTGTGAACCAAATATCCCTATTTGTTGCATAGTTTGCTTGAAAGGGTATATACCAGTGTGCAGAGGGTCCTTCAGAATTTCTAGAGTTAATGTGGTTACACCCCTTTAGCACCTGATGGATAAATGCATGCACTAGCTGTATGGATTTGAGCACAGGGATCTCTTGTTTGATGTAGAAAACAGGCTATATTTTGTCAGCCTTCTAAGGGCTTGGATACGTGGCTAGAGGCTGCTGAAAGTCCCTCTTCATAAATATCCTGTTTTTTTTCTGCCCAGGAGCTCAGCAACACTCTGTCGCTATGGCTGCAGTTGTAAAGTTGGCAAGCATGGCTTGCTGAATTCTTTTCTCTAGAAGGAACCAGACCGTGCAAAGTATCTCAATGAAGTTTCTGGAAAAAATTGCTGGAAGTGTGAATCCTATTAATCCCGATTGCATTTCCTTATACACAATCAGTTCAATAGTGGATTATGTTGGTTCATTTAAAAGTTGTTTTGTGAGCTGCATAATTTATGCAGACTCTAATTCTTTATGCATGATTGGAAACATTACACTAATTGTTTGATATTGTAAAAAGTCATTAATAATAGCTAGCACCAATAAGCCCTGGTGCTGGTTTTCTGTATTTTTAGAAATCATTTAATGCTGTTTAATTATGTTTGCAGTAAGCTGTAACCAAATGTTGCTTTTGATAAGTTACAAAATGATTTAAAGGGTTAGTTCACCTTTACAGAAAAACTGTAAAAAATGTGCAAAAGGGAATGTTTTGGGGAAAAAAATGCTTTATAAAAACAAATGCCCATAAATTTGCTAACTCCTTTTGTAATACGAGTTACTATAAGCATTTGTTATACCACTTTTTTGACAGACGTTCTGGCATTTCTTTTGTACATGCACCCTAAAAGTGACCTAACCCTAGACCCCCTCCCCACCTCCCTGGCCCCTGCTTTCCTTACTGCTGAGGGCTGCTGCTACAGCGTTCTGGGGATTTGCGTTCCCTGCTGCTCTCTCTCATCTCCATCCTGCACTGCCAGGATGGACAAGATTGAATCTAATTGGTCAGCATTGTCCATTTGATGGTGGTGACTAATCAGAATCCAGATTGGTCCATCCTGGCAGCGCAGGACAAAGAGAATAGCAAGGAATTCAAATCCCTGGGCCAGGGGAGTAGCTGAGGGAGCCTTGACAGCTGAGGATTGCTGGCAGTAAATGCAGTGGGGACCAGGCGGGAAGAGGGGGGAACCAGTGTTTGAATCACTTTACAGTTTGTGTAAAGGTGAAGTAGCCCCTTTAAAGCAGAACTGTATGTCCTCCTATTCTCTTGACATAAGCATCTATGCACACAATACTTGCACTCTATAGTGGAGTCTCCAGGCTGTTTGCCATCCTCCCAGTGATGACAAATCAGAGCTGTCTCTCATTGCTTTGTCACCTTCCATCTTCTACTGGTCTTCTTTCAGGTTCTTGACGCTTATCTTTGGGCCTTTCAGCATTCATTGGTGATGTATGTGCTGCACATATGTGAAGGGGTTAAATTGTTCTGGCACCCAGCTCTGTTCCTGTCATGATGGGAATGGGGCTGAGAGTGAACACAGCAATGTGCATTCTCCTCAGGCAGTACATAAAAAAATGCTAAAGGAAAGGGTTTATAGTCAATATTCTCTTTTGTTAATAAAAAAAATCTATCATCTGCTAGCAACCCCTTTTTTTTTTTTTTTTTTTTTTTTTTTTTTTTTTTTTTTTTTTTTTTTTTTTTTTTTCAAACCATGTTTTTCCTAACTTTTTTTGAAGTATCACATAGTGACACTTCATTCATGTCACTGCACAGCAACATGGTGCAGTGTGCGATCTCTTAAATTTAGAGATTTCACGTGTAGCCATAGCAGGAACAAGCCTGTAAGACATGATCGTAGGTCATAAGGCTTCTGATAGTTTTCATCACATACCCAAACTGAGAGCCAAATATTGCATTTGCTGCATTAAAGTGGACCTTTTAGTAACTTTAATGATATGCAGTTCTAACATGTCACATGATGCAACAATAGGGTATTAACCACTGCAATATCAGACACTTTCACCTCCTTTCTACCCAGGCCAGTTTTCCACTTTCAGCGCTGTCACACTTTGAATGACAATTACTCAGTCATGCAACACTGTACCCAAATTAATTTGTTTGATCATTTTTTTGAGACCGATTTTTTTTTTTTTTTCTTTGTTTCTGTTAGATTATTTATTTGAAAGTTTATTTCTTCACAAATTCAGGCTGAAATGTATCCTGGTACATTTCTTTGATAACCCAAGTGTGTGTGTGTGTGTGTGTGTGTGTGTGTGTGTGTGTGTGTGTGTGTGTGTGTGTGTGTAAGTCTACAAAACCAGGTATATACATCTACAAAACCAGGTATATGATCAGTCCTAATGTACTGGCTGCCTATCTCATTTCTTGAGGCCCTAAACTACCAGGATAATACAAATACCCCTACCCCCAAAATAAGTAGACCGTTCAAAATATTTAAGAATCATAGTGAGTTATTTTCAAGATGACATTTTTTTTTTTTTTTTTGTCAAGTTTTTGGAAAATGAAAAAAAAGGATTTAAATTTCTTTAATACATACTATCGCCACAGCAGTCCAGCGTCTTTATATGACTGCTGTGGTGGTGATCAGGGATATTGACTGATGGTATGTTAAACTTTTTATTTTTTATTTTTTTACATTTTTTTTTTTTCCCTATTTTTTATATGCTGGAGGTGATCAGGATTTTGTGTTAGATTATGATTGCTTATTACAGTGATGATCACTGTTATAAGCAATCATTTTTATGAATGGCATCCATTCATGTGTCGTGTACTCTTGTGATAGTTGTGATTGGCCACAGCTGTCACATGGTACAGGTCCCCTGAGATTAGCCCCAGTACCATCTGATCACTGAGACCAGTTGTAGAGATCACAATAGTACACGATGAATAGCTATGAACAAAAGCCATTATGTGCAAGTGACATGTAATTTCTGTGATTTGGTCACAGCGATCACATGGTACCAGGGTTGACCCAGTACAATGATCTGTCTTTCTATGTGTTCAGTGAACACAGCAGGTGACAGATTGCGCTGCTGCATGCACGAGGCACGCGAATGGGAGGATGTCCTATGACGTCCTCCTGGGATAATGGTGCTCCCACCTGGCTGTATTTATAATAGGCTGGGCAGGATGTGGTTAAAAACTGAGCCTTTTTATCATTAAAGTGTTCCTAAACCCACAACCGTAAAATAAATCTTTACATGCAGTAAAGCATGCTTGTTATACTCATTGTTGAACCCAAGGGGTTAATCCTTTCCTTCTTCCAGTGTCCCCCTCTTATCTCCTGATAACACATTGTGCAGATACACTCTGCACATGCTCACTTTAGTGTGTATTGCTAGAGAGGTTTTTTTTTCTTGGGAGAGTGCATGTGATCAGCATAGGGCCAATCAGCACTGTCCAGACAGAGGTCAGGGGTTCTGCATCCTCCTTGAGCAAAATTAAAACTTCTCCTACAAGCTTTAACATCTGCTCTGTTGGACACTGATAGAAGTCACAAGACTGCTCTAACTGCTGATGAGAAGGCAATTAGCAGTTTATATTACTATAATAATTGCACTTCCATGTTCTGCATACTGTGGGAGACCAGATATAGTGAATGCAGGGTTCTGGGTTTAGCAGCACTTGAAAGTCACTTTACCTGAGCTTGGGTTTTGATTTTAAAGACTGAGTTTTGTCATCAGTGTGTTTCATGCAGGAGGTAGTATTTGCATAGTATCCTCTACCCCAGTGATCAGACTGCAACATTGTAACTTTGTAGCTTGCCTCAAGCTGAGAGGGTGCAGCACCTGGCTGATTTGTGTCCTACAGCCCAGGAATAAGATGCTGACCCGAGGATTCCAAGGGTGGCATTGTCAGGTGGATTACTGTGATCTTTGGGAAAAGCAGTAATACTAAAACCGTGTTATATTTACAAATTACTCACACATTTACATAAACATTATCTGCTGTTAGGTCCATATTAACTTTAAATAAAAACATTTCGGTAGAGCAAAAGAGCTATTGCACTTACATGTATTGCCTTTATCCACAGAAAACCAGGAGCTTTTTAAATGGTTATTTAGGAATTCTCTAGGTGCTTACTTTACATTACCATATCTAATGTAGGGAACATTGGCAATGGAGCTCATGCTGTTTATCTACTACTGTCTTTGGCACAAGTTTGGAATGTAACAGAGGGCTTTGTAGATAGGCATTCTTACTTGGGAAATACTAATGTGAATCTTTCCAAGCCTTTGGCCATAACCAACAGGATATCCTGAAGTCAAAACACATAGAAGAAAAATATTTAGAAATAAATGCTGTTTTTTCGATGTACAATACCTATAATTTTGTAATGTGAAACTTGAATCTTTTTTTTTTTTTTTTTTATTTAATTACAACAGATACATATGTACCTACGGTATATTCTGCATTAATGCATGTTATGTGATAGTTAATCAGTGTATCAATATTTCAGGAAAATTGATATCTTACAGCTGAACTCTAGGCAGATATAAGACAAATTTAATGCAGCTCTGTAATCATTAATACATCATGAAATATATATATATATATATATATATATATATATATATATATATATAGATATATATACAGTGGGGCAAAAAAGTATTTAGTCAGCCACCAATTGACCAATTGTGCAAGTTCTCCCACTTAAAAAGATGAGATAGCAAACAGTTTGCTATGAGGACACACTAAGAACGGGAGGAGCCAAGATCACAGGCGGGGGACTGAGAAGAGTACCACTGCACAGAGCAGGTGAGTATAGCATGTTTGTTATTTTAATGAAAAAAAAATATCTAGTCTTTAGTAACATGGCTGAAACCCTTGATGCGCCACCTGAAGCACGTGAGCAATACATGGCGCTTTTTTTTTTTTTTTTTTTTTTTTTTAAGCAGCTTTTTCCTGCCAGGAGTAAAAGGGGAGGAAAAAATGAAATACCCAGTGTGCATATGTCCTAAGGAACAGCATTTGTGTACAAAGAGTTAATTTCTGTATATTTCAAATGATACGGATTACCAGGATTATTATTTGTGTAAGAAAACTCGGGATGTCTCTTATTGCAGGGTATGAATTTTGTCACTGGATACCTCATTTTGGTTACTAAAGATGAGGAAAAGGCCTTCTGGTTGTTGGATGCTCTTCTTGGACACATTTTACCTGGTATGTTTTTTTTTTTTTTTTTTTTTTTTTGACTAAACCCTTTTTGCGGTTATAGCTTGTTAATAGTCATATCAATCTACTCTCCGTATGAACATGTCTGCATGAATCTTTTATAATACCGTGAATTCAGTATTCTCAATAGTAATCATTTCCCAAGACTCGTGGACCATGTTGTCCACAGAAGAGCCAGACTTGGAAGTGTGACTAGATTAGGGGAATAAAATGTAAGATTTTTAAAGGATAAGTGACCCTGTAAGGTCTATATATGGAGCCAAATGCATATCCTTTAGATTTACATGCAATCTACAGTGAAGGAAATAAGTATTTGATCCCATGCTGATTTTGAATGTTTGCCCACTCACAAAGAAATGATCAGTCTAAAAATCAAATGGTAGGTGTATTGTAACACTGAGATCTCTCAGTGTTACAATACCATTCGATTTTTTAGACTGATCATTTATTTGTGAGTGGGGCAAACATTCAAAATCAGCAGGGGATCAAATACTTATTTCCTTCACTGTAGATTGCATGTAAATCTAAAGGATATGCATTTGGCTCCATATATAGACCTTACAGGGTCACTTATCCTTTAAAAATCTTACATTTTATTAAATGACAATTACCCAAAACACACATCCAAGGCAACAAAGGAGTGGTTCAAGAAGAAGCACATTAAGGTCCTGGAGTGGCCTAGCCAGTCTCCAGACCTTACTCCAATTGAAAAATCTGTGGAGGGAGCTGAAAGTTTGAGTTGCCAAATGTTAGCCACCAAACCTTAACGACTTGGAGAGAATCTGCCAAGAGGAGTGGGCCAAAATCCCTCCTGAGTTGTGTGCCAACCTGGTGGCCAACTAAAGGAAGCGTCTGACCTCTGTGATTGCCAAAAAGGGATTTGCCACCAAGTACTAAGTCATGTTTTGTGAAGGGCATCAAATGCTTTTCCCTCATGAGCATGGAAATCAGTGCATCATTTGTTAGACATGCATTTATTTTGAATTTTTTGTTGCTATTCTGTCTGTTTACAATACACCTACCATTCGATTTTTAGACTGATCATTTCTTTGTGAGTGGGCAAACATTCAAAATCAGCATGGGATCAAATACTTATTTCCTTCACTGTATATATTACACCATTCTTTTTTTCCTCTCACCACAGCTTTAATATAAAGGCATTTATTTAGTAACAACCGTCTTAGGGCCTAGTCATACCATCGTGTTAGAAAATGCATACAATTAATTTTTGGTATGTTTTCAATGTGTTGCATTAAATGCTTCACAATGCAAGATGCATCTTATATACACTTTTTTTTTTTTTTTTTTTTTTTTTTTTTTTTTTTTTTTTTTTTTCTTTTCATTTTTGTCATATCCTGTAAATTTTAGGGTTTGTGGTTTTTTTTTTTTTTTTTTTTTTTTTTTTTTTTTAAAACTCGGACATTAAAACAGGGACATATGAGTTGAAAAATGTTCTAATTAAAACGCATATTGACTTTTGAGTGCATTGTTCCTGGCTTTGACATTGATTATCATGCAACACACTTTTTTACAAATACACACAAAAAGTTGCAAGCTGGATTTTTCATGCACCTTATTGTGATCTGCATTGTATTGGACACGATGTTGTGAATAGGCCCCTACTAAATATATGCCTTTTTAGCTTTGTATCCCATTCTCGGCCAGCTTGTATCTTGTTTCATCATGTTATAAGTTTTCTTTATACAATTCATGTAGTTTATGCAACCCATCGGAAAATAAGTTGGGCTTGCATAAGTTTTATATTGGAGTGTGAGTTAATCCCTGGATATGCTGTTACCTAATGTGCAGTCTAATAATTTATATATGGTGTTTTTGCATTGCTTTATTCAAAACAATCTGGCAGATCATCTTTCATATAAATGGTAGCCTCTAGAGGGTGCACCTGTTTATGGTAAAGAGTATAGCATCCTTGCAAACAGCTGTAATACTCACGCCATCACTACATGCAGAAGAACATTCAGAGCTTGAGTTTCTATGAAATTTGACTCGTCTGGACAGTTCTCTCATGACAGACTTTTCAGATGGGAAACAGTTGAAATGAAAAATGTCATGGTCCAAATGCCGCATGCAGTGTTTAATTTATGCTGCACCCAGTTAATGTCCAAGAAATGCAAGTCTGTATACACCCTTAGGCCTTTTTCACACTGGCGTTAAAAGCAGGCATTTTAGGGGCATTCTTGACAACTCTCAAACGCCTTGTTGAGCAGTTTGCAATTGATAATATGGACTGCACACAGAGCAGTTCACATTAGCAAAATGTGTTTGCATTGCATCGCTGCACTTCAAAAATGAAGCTACATGTCGAGCTTGGAAGGAGTTGAATCATCTCAACCCCTTCCATTTAAGTCAATGGTAACGTGCCAGCAAAAGTCTACAGCACATTGGGCCTTGTTCATAACAGCCCCAAAAAATAAATATATAAATGTAGGCTCCTGGTTTGTGTTTTTTACCTCCATTTAACGTCCGTTAAACACACATAGGGCATTTGGGGAGTTTTTGTAATGCGCCTTTATTGTGTGTAAAAAGTGGTCAAATACAACTAACAAAGCACATTAATTCATCAGTATTTTGAGTATGTGTTGAACAAGGCCTAACAGATGTGATGGTTGGAGGGAGCTTTGAAGGCTAGGTTCACACATTTTTGCATCTGCATGTTTTTCATGTGCTGCCCTTAAATCCTATGAGGCCATAAATGTGCTTCAGTGCCACAAATTATAGTATTTTTCCCATAAGCTCTGCACAGGTTCCCATAGAAAGGAGTAGGAATCCTCTTGTGTGTCAGCCAACACGTGTAAAGTTGTACAGATGTAAATGTGTAGCAAATTCCCTTTTTAGTGTTTGTTTAACCAAAGCCTAAGAATGATGATTATAATTACGATCGTATGATGTGTTTCTTTCTATACTATGCATTTTTAAAGGTACACTCCAGTCAAATCTCAAAGTATATGAAGGTTTGTCTTCAGGCTGACTTAATTTGTCGCATGCTTGCTCTGAGGCTGATTTGGCGATGTGAACCTACAATAAACTGGATACAATGGAACTGGAACTAATGCAGCTTTCTGGCATTTATTTGACCAGTCTCTTAACCACTTCCAGTCCGGACACTTTTACCCCCTTCCTGTCCAGGCCAATTTTCAGCTTTCAGTGCTATCACACTTTGAATGACAATTGCGCGGTCATATAACACTGTACCCATATGAATTTTTTAGCATTTTTTTTGAGACCGATAAAGCTTTATTTTGGTGGTATTTATTCACCACTGGGATTTGTTTTTTTTTTGCTATGTAAATGAAAGTCCAAAAATTTTGAAAAGTTTTTTTTTTTTCTTATAAAATTTTGCAAATAAATAGTATTTAATCATCTTGGCCAAAATTTATTCTATTATCTTTTTAGTAAAAAAAATAACCCAAATTAGTTTATAACCAAAATTATAATTTAAAATTTTTTTTTTTTTTTTTTTTTTTTTTTATATTGTTTGTTTTTTACATACTGTCACCCTAGCAGTACAGTGTAACCATGGTGACACTGTACTACTTGTGGGGGGTGATGAAGATTTTTTTTTTTTACACTGATTGCTTTTACACCCATAAAGGCTGTAAAAGCAATCATTCCTTGTTTTCTCTGGCTGCATTCTTGCAGCCATTGAGAACTGAGTGAGCTGTGATTGGTCACAGCTTGTCACATGGTACAAGGCTGTTGTGTGAATAGCCTTGTACCATGTGACCTCTGTGATCATTCACAGATTTCACACGTAGTAAGCAATGATGTCACAAGTGACATCTTGCTTACAACTCTGCATGTGATCGGGACCTCGCACAGAGGTCCCGTCCGACGATCAGTGTTCCACTGGGTCGCGGTGTTGCGCGTTCCCAGGGAGCACGCGCAAGCAGGGTGCAGGGAGGCCGTTTATAAATGGCCACCCGACCCTGCACTGCCACCGTCCGGCCGTTTATATACAATGGCCGGACGGGAGGTGGTTAAATGGTCTCTTCTTTTTCATATGAGTGGTTCATATACCCCTAATGACTACTGGTAGCTGACTGGTCCTATAATGGTCCTGCATTGTATTGTAATGACATAGAAGCACCTGTGTGGCATTCACCACTTTTATATTCTATTATTGATGCTACCCTGCCAATTTTACTTTGTGACCAGATGTCACTAAAGATTAACAGGGGGACCTGGAAGGGAGCATGGGTTTTAAGTGGTGCTTGCTGTACCTTTTGCAAGCACAAAGTATGCTAAGGGAACCAAACGACCCCTTTTACCATGTTGTTGAATTCCTACCTCGTAATGAAATTCTAGTTGCTCCATATTGAGATGCAGATAAAAGACCACTGGATGATTGGTGTGGATTTCTTCTCTTTGCACATCTTTTGATGCTTTTTATACCAACCAATGGCATGAACTTGCAAGGTAATACTTTTAAATTTACATAAATACTACAGTGAATGGAGTTACATAAATACTACAGTGAATGGAGTTGCATAAATACTACAGTGAATGGAGTTGCATAAATACTACAGTGAATGGAGTTGCATATATACTACAGTGAATGGAGTTAAAGTGATCATGTTTAGAAACTGAACTGTATCCCTCCATTGCCAGCAACACTTGCTCTGCTATGAACAAGCTGATCCATTGTAAGCCTTGACTCATGCTGTATAATTTGTGCATCCTGTACTGACTACTTTAGGACAGTCTCTTCTAACTATAATGTACAAACTCTAAACTCTGTAGGTAAGGGTGCCACCTTATTTTCAGTAATTGATGGTCCTTTTTTCATCTAATTTTAGCATCAGTGTTAATTTTCTTTTAATGTTTAAATTTATTAGGTGAAGCCAAGAAAGGGCAGAGGAGTGGACTGCCTTCCAAGGCTTTATATGGGGGTTAATTTCCTTCATAGCAAGCAGTGTTTACAAAGATGTAATATATATAATTCTGTTTCATTGAAGGCTACAGCAGAG